TTTTATAAATGCAAATTTATTTACTGTCGTTCAAAAATTTTCCATTATTTTATTTACACCAGTTAGTATTCGCGTGTGTGTATTTTCGGTCTTTTGGTCGTTTGTTTGTTTGTTTGTTTATTCCGTGATTTATGGCAAATTAACTTTTCACAACGATTTTACACTTTTAATAATGAGTTAAATATTTATTTATTTTTGTTTAAATATTAAAAAAATAAAAATAAACACACCGTGTCTACTGACACTTTAATTTACTTTACTCTCGACGATGATAAAAAAATTTTTTTTTTTTTTGTTTTAGCCGTCGATGGAAAATGGAGCGGTTGGTCAAGTTGGTCACCCTGCGGAACGGAATGTAAACATTTAAGAAAAAGATTTTGTACGAATCCAACGCCAAACAGTGGTGGAAAAAATTGTCCTGGAAAAGACACGATGACCGCCGGTTGCACCGGTGGTTTATGTCCAAGTAAGTTTTTTTTTTTTTATTGCCATCCGCCATTTTATTTTAAATCTATCGATATGTGTGAATGCATGTTAGATTATTATTCTCAGACTAATAATAATAATAATAATAATAATAATAATAATATTGTTTTTTTTATAAGCCGGTAAATAATAATAATGAAAGCGTGAGTTATAAATAAATTCAATTCGTGAATTGAAACGACGGGAAACAAAAAAAAAAAAAATTTTTTTTATATTTTTTTTATTTCTATTACGTCTTTAAAAAAAAGTTTCATGCATGATCGAACTCTTTAACGATTTCCCCCCCCCCTCCTTATTTCAAAAAAAAAAAAAAACTTTTATGACAAAAAAAAGAGAGAAAAAAACTACCGGAAACGTTTCTGCAATTACGTTTAAAATCGGGTAATTAAATGTGTAAAATGTCAAAGAAGTGAATAAAATGTCGAATGAGTGTGTTAGAATAAAAGGGTCGTCGACACACGGGTAAAAAATTGACGTGGAGGTAGAATTGATTGACTTTAATCTTTGTATACACTAGACAGTGTCACCAATCTTCCGCGAATGTATTATTATTATTATTATTATTATTACTATTAAAAAGAAACGTGCAGCACGAATTGTGCCAAAAAAAAAAAAAGGAAAGAAAAGAAAAAAAAGAATTCTTAGAAATTTTTTTTTTTTTGTTAATATAATCATTAAATTTTTAATACGTAAAATTTCGTCGACACGTCGAAACGATTAAAATAAAAAAGAGAGAGAGAGAAAGAAAAAAAGAAACAGAAAGAGAGGGAACAAATCAAATCGTGATGAATTTTCTAATTAAATTTTACAAAAAAAAAAGCAAAGAAAGAAAAAAAGCAGAAAAAACTTTCGCAACTTTTTTTTTATTTTCACTTTCATCTTCTTTCTTTTTTCGTTTCTTCTTCTTATTCTTTCTGTTCTTTTATTTCCGGTTGTTTTATTTAAAAAAATCAAATCGTTAAGGAAAGAAAAAAATTTTTTTTTTAATTTAATTTTTTTTTTTTAAAAAAAAGTAGTTTATTTTATAAAATTTATGAGATTTCAAGTTCCAATTACAACGAACAATGGATAATTGAACTAGAAAGAAAAAGAAAAAGAAGAAGAAGAGAAAAAAAATTGAAAAGCTAAAAATAAAATTAAAAAAAAAAAAAAAAACTTATCAGATATTTTAAGATTATCAACAGCGGGAGAGATAAAAGAAAAATTGGAAATAAAAATGAATGAAAACAAAAAAAAAAAAAAGGAAAGAAAAGAAAAGAAAAGAGAAGGATGAGAACAATACTGTGAGTGACTATTATCTTGTCAGACACAAACCTTCTTCCCCACACTTAATAATAATTCTTAATTTTTTTTTTTTTTTGCTCCCAACAGAAAGAAAAAAAACGGAAAAGTTTGAAAATCGTCCATCTAGATGATGATAATAATAATAATTATAAAAATAAAAAAATAATGGAAAATTGGATGCCAAAAAATTATTGTTGTGTAGAGAGAGGGAGAGAAGGAAAAAAAGAAAAATTTAATCTGGAAAATTTTTGATCGATTTCCTAAAACCCGAGAGAAACAGAGAGAGAGAGATAATGTTAAAAAAAAAAGTTTTCGTCCTCTTAGGGGATCCCAAACCTTTTAAAAAAGAAAATGAATAGTTTCTTTTTTTTTCTGCTTCTTCTACCATTCTTTTTTTCCTTTTCTTTTCTTGAATTTGTTGATTGATGAAAAAAAAAAAAAAAGAAAGAAAAAAACATGTGACAAAAAAATAAAATTAAAAAAAAAAAAAAAAAATTCGTTTGTTTCCTGTCGTGGAAAGCTCGGAAGAGAGAGAGAGAGAATGAGGGACAGTGTCAGGAACAACAGTGAGAGTTTGTTGTTAAATTTTTATTTAATTTGTTCGTTTGTTTTCCTTAAGTTTTCTTCTTTTTTTATTTCTAATTTAATTTTTTTTTTTTTTTGGCGAAAAAACAAGCATTTTAAACAATCGCGTGTAAAAATATTTTTTTCGCGGTTTTATTTAAAATTTTCCTTTTTTTTTGTTAAGCGTTAAAATATACATCGTCGTCGTACTACCTTTCACTGTTGTTTTCATTTTCTCTCTCTCACTCTTTTTTTTCCCTCCCCGTTTATTATTCGTTTCGAAAAACCAGTTTTTTTTTTTTTTTTTAAATTAAGTAAATAAACAATTAAATCTCTCCCTTTCCAAAAGTTTTTTTTTGTTGGTTGTTGTTGTTGTTGTTGCCTTCGTTAATAATCATGTAACACGTAAATCGTGATTTTCGATTACAATCGTTTATGGTAAACTCACACACACGCACGCACATCCACGCACACGCACACGAGGAGTTCGATGAATTTTTTTTTTTTTTTTTTACGGATTTGACGTTAATGACTTGTTTAAATAAAATTTTTTTTACCAAATAAAATTTAATAAAAAAATTAACGCCCTCTCTCTCTCTCTTTGTCTCTCTCTATCTCTGTCTTTCTCTATCTCGTAAATAACGACTTTACGTAAATTTTTTGATTTATTCATAGTTCGAATAATTAATTAATTAAATTTAAAAATAAATAAAAAAGTCTTATTAGTTAGTTAATAAAAATATTAAACACTCATTATTATTATTATTATTATTATTATTATTATTATTATTATTATTATTTTAAATGAAAATAGTTTTTTAGATTTCAATAGATAGATAGATAGATAGAGATATTCGAAAAACGACAGAATAAAATAATTTAAAGAATTTTCAATAATATATTAATCTTCGATTCGAATTCTTTTATTGTGGAAGAAAACCACCCCCTTCCTTCCCTCCTTACCCCCCTCCCACGCTTCCTTCTTACCAATTTGAATTACGCAGAGAATTTTCCAGATCTTTTTCCTATCAATTGTAATAATATAAGAAATATTTGCGACGGTTAAATCACGAAAACTTTCAACAAAAAAAAAAAAATTTTAATCGTTTTATTACGTAAGGAAAACTTGATTTTCCCGTCTCGAATAATAATAATGATGATGTGGATGATGAGGATGATGAAAATAATAATAATAATAATTTTTTTTTCCATATCATTTCGTGTTAAGTAAACATATAATTAACGAATAGAAATTTTCATGTTGGAAGTTACCAACTTTAAAAAAATAATAAACATAATAACTTAAAGGCAAATATTTAACGCTGAACAATTTGCAAAAAAATCGCATCCTATCGTATATAATTATGCGTTACACGAATTTTTTTTTTTTAAATTATTATGTTTTGACTTGCAAATTTAAAATAAATAAATAAATAATAATAATATTAAATTAATAGTTTGAAACTCACACGCGAACTTAGTAAACAAAAAAAAAAAATTTACTCATCATACGTACAGATACAATAATAATAATAATAATAATAATAGAGGGAAAATGATTTGATACAAAAATATTTCGCCAGGTACCCAATGATCGTCACGTAAATAAATAAATAAATAATAATAATAATAATGATATTAAATGTAATTTTTTTTTTTTTGAATAAACGAATGAGGAGTTATAAAATGACAATGATGTCATTTTGTGACGTCACAAATAATTTAAAAAGAAAAAAAAGTGACAGGTGAAAAATATCGTAAGACGCATTAAAATTGCGTAAAAACGTTTCTTTTCTTTTCTTTCTTTCTTTCCTTATTTTTCCTTTCTTTTTTTTATTTTTTTTTCTCATTTGTCTCAAGTACTGGATAATTTTCCAGCAGTCGAAGGTAAAAAAAAAAAGTTATACCTTTTTTTTTTATTTTTTATTTTCTGAATTTCAAAGTCGAGATGAGAGTTTGAATGTTGTTGACACGAAAAGTGAAATAATGTTGAGTTTTTTTATACCTTTTCAATAAGTTTTATTCGTTCGGTAGTATTTTCGATTGTTTTTATTGAAATATTCAAGAGGAATGAAGAAAAATATAAATATCGTTTTAAAATTTTTTCCCGCCTTTTTTTCTCGTATAAAAAATTGAATTCTGGTACATTAATTATATTTAAATTTAAACAATTAAGAAAAAAAAATTGTTTAAAATTGTTTGTTTGTTTTTGTTTTGTCAGGTTGTCAGATTAAAATTGCAACTTATTTATTAAAAAAAAAAAGTTTTTTCTTGCGTGAAAAACTTTTAATTTTTTTATACTCAAAGTTAAAATGTTAAAATTTATTTTCTAATTTTTTCTTTTTTTTCTTTCTAGTTAAATCCAATGATGTTGTCAGTTACGATGGAGCAACACAAGCGGAAGAAGGTAATTTGTTTTTAACTTAAATCTTATTATTATTATTTTTTTTTTACACAACAATAACAGCGACGACAACAACAACAACAACAGTAACAATAAATAAAATAAATTTTTTTTCTTTCAATTTTTTATTTATTTATTTAAAATAGATTTAAAAAAAAAAAAAAATTAAAATATTTATTAGAGCGTTAAAAATTAAAATTGTTAATAATAATAATAATGTTGATAAAACGAACGACGTTATCGATAACTCTAATGTTTAATCGATCGATCGACCAATCGATTATTTCAATAATTTATTTGAATTTTTTTTATTTTAAATAAAAAAAAAAAACAACAACAACGACAAAAAGGAAATAGTTTGGATGGCGAAGGGATGGGAGGGGAGAAGGAGAGGAAAAGAGAGAGAGAAGAGAAGAAAAAAAACAAAAACGAAAACAACGTTATCATCATTATATTTATATTATTTTCCTATTTTGTATTTATTTAAATGGATTTCATTTCCGGTTGATTTTGGTCCAACGATTTTTTATATTATTAAAAACAAATGAATACATCTATGTATTTACTTACACTAGATTAATTTTTTTTTGTTTTGTTGCCGCCATGATTGCGATTGTTGTTGTTGTTGTTGTTGTTGTTGTTGTCGCTTTAATATTTTTTATTTTTTTTGTTTATTGACTCGTGAATTTTTTTTTTATTAATAATAATAATTAAATAAAATTTTTTTG